GCTCCCAGCACGTGTTGCCCATCTGCACGCCGGCCTGGCCGACGTGCACGGAGATGCACTCGCGCTGCAAGGCACGGAGGGAGAGAGGTGGCCTCAGCTCCTGGTACCACCTGCACCCTTGCTGTGGGTGACGGGACCCTGCACGTCCCTTCTGCTGGGCACAGGCTGGCCAGCCCAGGCACAACTGGGCTCGCAGTGACCTTCTTGTGATCATGGTGCCCCACTGCCTTGGAGCTCTGTGTTCATGCTACMCACCTGGCTTGTCCCAAGCCCAGCACTCTGCCTCTCCCCACTGCACTGCCCGCCTCCGTGTCCCRGGGTGGATGGAAACCATTTCCRTGGAGCCAGGGACACCCAGAAAACMAGCTCCCTGGCCAACAAACCACCAACCTTGATGAACCAACCGCRCAGGGAAGCCCTTGCAGAGGATCTGCTGCACGGCAGGAGCACTTGCTGAGGCCAAGGCCTTGCTGCTGCCGCCCTGCCAGGCGCCCCGCTGCCCGTCCTGCCCAGGGCAGCRCCAGGCCTGGCATCACTGCAGCGGGAAGCTCCTGCAGCGCAGGAAGGGGAGGCAGGGATGGAGCCTGGGCACAGAGCGGACCAGGGGCACCCCGCGCTGCCCACTGCTCTGGAGCCAGGCGGGCACTCGGCCTCCGCAGGGAGACCGTGGGCTGTTGCAACAGGGCTGCATGCTGGGATGAGCGTGGGAGCTGAGGAGGTGGCGTGCAGGAAGGCTTCCCAGCAAGGGGAACATGCGGTAGTGAAGAGTTGCCATGCTGTGGGGCTCTGCTTTCCCAAATTAGCTCTGGAACAGAGGCATTAGCGGCACTTYTTATCTGAATCGAGGGGCTGATATGGGTGGGAGCCCTAACTCGGGACTTGGGGGCATCCTCAAGGCTCATGTTGGTTCTGGCATCTCACTCRCTCCAGGAGAGGCACCCAGGCATTGCAGCTCTTTTGACAAGAACCAAAATACCGCGGGCATTTAGCCCTGCTGTTGCCAAGGACTTGGATGAGTCATCGGGCACATCCAAGGCAGGGGAGCATCCAACCCACACCGGATTTCCAGAGCAGCCGCTGCCCTGCGGTGAGTCAGGCAGCAGGGCCGGGTGGAGCAGACATTTTGTCCTCAACAGCCACTGCTGTCCAAGGGAAGTTGCAAGG